TTTTTCTACGTTCAGTAGTTTGCTACTGGGTGACGAGAAGACGAAGACAATTTGATAATTTAAAAAAAAAAAGTAGTAACATTTACCTAAAACGATTAGAAAGAGTGTAATGGCAATTGTAAACACAACTGTTAATGCCTCTTTTATAACTTCCTCCCACGTCATGATGTCTTTTCTGTGACCATCTGTCTAAGAGTAACGACGTCGAGAAGACACCCAAGTATCAGCTGGTCTTGAATGACAAGCCATTAATTAAACGAACTTTTTTAGTAACCAACAGGAAGTACATTTATTGACATTAACTCTTTCTTTACCTAGCCACGACCGACTGTATTTCTCGCCCAGGACTCGATCTAGCAAAGCTTTCTGTTTGGTTGTGACATTGGCAAAGTTAAATACTCAGAATTTATTTTAAAACTATTAATTGGTGGTCTAAAAGGACTTTATGTAAAAAAATTGTTGGGAACTATGTCGGTCTCCTACAAGATAAGTCTTGCCAAACTTGTAGGGAACATAGCTGGAGACACAGTAATCAGGAGAATGAACAGGAGGGTAATGATAAGGGGAACACATTGGGACACAGACAGAAAGGAACGGTAAAGCCATTAGGATAGGAATATAAAGCCAGAGTGCTAGGGCAAATACCACAATCTTAGCCACGCAAGTGGCGCAAATAAACACGACCATAAACATACCTAGAGACTGTTGGCAGCTGCCATTAGCAGGTTGAACGTGGTCGGGTTTCTTTTTTTTTAAACACTGGAACTGGAACCTCTTAAAGCGGGTACTTTGGTGTTAATGTTTTGTGAGTTCCGGAAATTTTATTCTGTCTGTTGTCATGGCGGAGTGGTTTGGTTAACATGTTTCAACGTCGAGCTGTAAGGCTTCACCATTTGTCTTCTACCTCTTTCTTGCTGTCACAGGCTGTAAACTCCTGAGGAAAATTCAAATTGTTCATCCACTTCTGGACTTCAATATTGCTCCAGAACTTGAGTTCACATTCGTTTTACAAATCTGGATTATTTGTGTGTTGACTGTTGATTCCTTGCCTCTGACAGATGCACTCCTGGTTTGAAAGCCTTGATAGTCATAATGTCTGCTAAGTAAGATAACCGTCGCTCTAATGTATCTGATGTTGTATCTGTGTTTAACAGTTGTGCCTCGTTATACGTCTTTCACCCTTCCCGATCCTTGGACATGTACCAACAAGTCAGTAGCCTGTCCTTTGCAGAACCTTGCTCCCATAACAACCTTCTGAAAAACTTCTCGATAACAAGCAAGATATCCCGCGTCCGAGACACCCATGTGGAGATTATCCGCCACATTCTGCACCCATCTTTTCATTGGCCTTTCTTTTTCTCTCTTACCACCATATAGCCCTCCATTATTGTTCTCTCTAAACTTTCATGTCGTTTCAAGTGACCAAAATATTTCACTTCTCTGTGAAATATCGTCTTTAATAGCCAACCTTCTTCAGTATTCAGTTCTTAAAGTATGGATGCATTTCTTCTTTTCTTTACCAATAATTTTTTAAATACCAAACAGTATAAGAATGATTAATCCATTCCTATAAATAAAACAAATCCGGCTATCCTCCGAATAACGGCCACATATTATGGCGGCCAAAAACAGGGCCTCAGTCACATGTAAATTGCGAACTTCCGGCGACTATACCGCCACCGACGAGCGTATCTCCCACGCCGTTACGCGCGGCATGGATTGGGGCTAAACTAGATGGCTGGGACTCACGAGCAAAGCTTGCAGGAGATGCAGAAGCTGCTGCATCGTCCTATCAGCGTGGGAGATACTCTCGGCCGTGCGTTAGTCGCCGGAAATGCGCAATTTTAGTCGCCGGAAGTGCGCAATTTTCATATGGCTGAGGCCCTGTTAGGGTGTTTTTGTGGCCGCCATAATATGTGGCCGTTATTCGAAGGATAGCCAAACTATTGTTATTGGCATATTATATATCGACGGGATTGTATAAAATAATGGTGGCACATTGTGTCATCGGGTGTTTATCGCTTGTGTGATGTCTGGTGGGGTAGAAAGTCAGTCAGTCGCAGCCTGCGGCATATACTTACCTAGCAATAGGTTTTTCGTCCTTTTTAGGACGAAATTTTGTGTTATTTGAAGCCCCACCCTGGCTTTTGCCAGGGGCCGCATTATAGGCAGGCCATAAATATGGCCAATTGTCTGAACGCGGTTTCTGGGACCTCTCCACGGCCATCCTCATCCACAATATGGCACTTTGTGTCATCGGGTGTTTATCGCTTGTGTGATGTCCTGGTGAGGTAGAAAGTCAGTCAGTCAGTCACAGCCCGGTTTGCAAACAATTTATCAAGGGAAGGTTGTAGTCAGCTTGGCCAGCTGCTACACCTAGTCCAAGTCCTTTTGAGAAAAAAACAAAAGCTCGACCACGTTCAGACTGCTGCTAGCTAGCCTAGGCTGCTAACAGTCTCCGCCTATATTTGTGGTCTGGGTTATTTGCGTCACTTTCGTGACTGAATACTGGTGTTTGTGCCATTTCTGGCTTAATGCTTCCATCCGAATCAAACCGCTCGTCCTGTTGTCACTGGTGCATGTCTTCCTTCTTCATTCTTGGTGTTTCCTGTTTGTTCTGTCTCCCTTTGATCTGGCTAGGCGTATCTCGAAGGAGAGCGAGCTTCCACACACAACGTCCTTTCGGCCACCATTTATTGTTTTAAAATTTTGAGTATTTTAATTTTGCCAAAAAGTACTGAAAACAGTTTTTGAATGTGAATAGTTCCGAAATGTGAAAATTTTCCGCGTGTGACCATAGTGGTCTTATAGTTGTCTTCCTGTAATATGAACGGGTTAGTCATGTAATGGATATGTGTGTGAGAGTTTGTGTGGAGTCTTAAGCGGGTCCAGTCGTCATTTGTTATTATGTGATCGGGTTGTGTTGATAGCTAAGCTCCGGTGTACGTAAATACCATATAACCGGACCGTCCAGCTCACGCTTTGAGATCCAAATGTTCGGCGATGAGAATTGCTGTGGCCTGTTGGGCAACGAACTCAAGTGCTCTCTGTGGGAATGGGTTGGGGGGTTAAACTCATAGTGCATCCGAAAGAGTTAGGGAAAGGTGGGGGGAAGGGGAGCGGGACTGCTACACCTCTTAATGTTCTAAATATATAAAAAGTTAGCAGATGTCCTAGAAAAGCTAGTTTATGAATACTTCTTCCTATAGTCCATGCTATGTAGCATTTTTGTGTAGTTTGACAAAGGCTTCCCGGCCGAAACGTTACGTTATTTGTGTTGTTTTGTGCACGTTTTTCTGCTTCCCCATTTTGTTGAGCTTTTTAGTCAAATTTCTCTGGAATTCATATTACTGGCAATTTCTACATTTTGTTTAAGACTGTTAGACATCAGTCATGCAAAAACAAAAAACAATTTGTCTGAAACCTGCGTCATCCTTCACCTATACCAGGGTTGCTATATTGGTATTTTTTATGCCAGACTCTACAAATTTGGCATATTTGAAATATAACTGGCATAAATTTCTCTGTATCTCGTCAGGTGCATACTACAGTAACAATTAATTAAAATGAAGCAAATAGCTGAATCCTAGAAACTGAAACACAAATTCGAATTGCTTCACTTTAATTAATTGTTACTGTAGTATTCACCTGACGAGATACAGCGAAATATGCCTGGCAATAAATTGTGCAGTCTATTGTATGTGTCTTCTTTGTTCAAATTCACATCGGGGAAAGATTGCTTTGTTGAACTGGCATACGATAATGAACTGGCATATTTTTTGCATATTTGGGTTTTCTCAGGCTTTTCTTATCAAGATTCGCTCACATTTTCTTCTCCGTTAGAAACAAGCAGATTTACTAAAAGCAATGTAGACCTACAGTTAACATCTTTATTTCAGTTTGACTTTGTTGTGATGTCCTGGTACGGACTAAGAGAGATTCGCACCATTTCTTATTATACTTATTGTCTTTCTAAACGGATCTTGACTTCGGTAAACCAATGCCCTCTGTAATTTATGTTAAACTACCAGAATAAATGCGGGATATAAAACCACAACCCACCACTGATACCAAGTGATTCAGACTGTTCAGAAACTCCTCGAGGACAGAAAAAAGAGAGGATATAGACCAAGTTCTATCTATGATAGATGTTATTACTTTTACCAATCGCCACGTCATTCCCAAAAATGGAAAGCATCTTATGACATCGCAAATATAATAGTAACTGGAAGAAAACATACCCACGTTACAAAAGACCTTCAGACGGATTAGGTGCAGCATATTGTAAACTGTGTCAGTGCACTGTTGCACCAAGCATTAGTAGCATATCAAATCATGAAAAATCCGAAAAACACAGGATGAAAACTGTCAAAAAGCCAACAAAAAATGACTTCTATCCTAGGCAAAGTAATGATAAAGTTAAATGCAGCAGAGCTGCAACTTGCTGTAGGCATGACCTGCCATTGTTCAATATGCACAATTGATCATTTCAGTAAAATCATAAGAGCGCATGGTCAGGAAGTACATTGGAGCACATACAGTTGCATAGAACTAAATATTCATGCCTATTAAAAAAAAAATATATCGCCTGCACTTAAGGATGACCTTATTTATGATTTTCGGAAAAAGAAATATGCCATCATTATAGATGAGTTGCAAAGATTTCATCCCATCTGAGAAAATGCTTAAAGATTTTACATCCGAAAAGGTTTACGCCGTGTCTTCCACTTGTTCCAGTGAGGATGACAGTGAAGAATTCAATCTAGAGCTTTTGACGTGAAGCGAGTACAATGTTATACTTTATCTGGCATTTTCTGGCATATTTTGGGCAATGGTTTGGCATAAAATGAGGTGTTTTTTTTAATCTGGCAACCCTGACCTACACCATCATTATGATCACGTGATCTCAGTTATCATATACTACTGAGACTTCCGGTTATGGTAGATGACTGAGGTAGAGAAAAATAAAACACAACTGTTACATTACATAGACCGAGAAAATGCTTCCAGAACTGACATTTAACATCGACCACGGATACCTAGAAGGCCTCCTCAGGGGTTTTAAGTCTGGCATCCTCAAACAGGCGGATTATCTCAATCTTATTCAGTGTGAAACTCTGGATGGTAGGCGTTTGCTTTGCTTGGCTTGCTTGCTTTTTTGGTGTATAATATAGTATTATAAGTGTGAACTGTGAGTGTGTGTATAACCTGTAAATAATAATAATAATTAATATAGTTTTTAGTATACTATTCTGTTACTATATTTCATTTATTTATACTGTAAAATAATTAGTTAATTTTTACAGTTACTTCATATCGTCATTATAATTATAATATAAAAGTATTAAAAGTACAGTTACAGAGTTACACACACAGCATACCAGTATGAATTTATGGTTCTCCTTGCAATAACGGTCGCTACTTGGACGGCGACGGCCGCTTAGTCGGAGTTCAGTCCCCTGGCTGCAGTGCAATTATGGAGTGGACAAGCCACGAATCACAAAACAACGTGAGTTCAACATGGCTTCTAGACCATGCGCTGCGACTCACAGTAGCGACAGCGCGTTACATGTGTTACTCTAACCCTAACCCACACCCTAACCCTACCCCTAACCCTACCCCTAATTATGTCATTTGTTTCGTTCCCTCCTTTCCACTCCATAATTGCACTGCAGCCATGGGACTGAACTCCGACGAAGCGGCCGTCCAACTAGCGACCATTTTTGCAAGGAGAGCCGAATTTATAAATCAAGGTAAACTTTACCGTTAAAGAAACCACTCACGCAGAAAGACTTTCTGAAACGAATGTCGGTTCTATTCCAGTACCTCCCCCCAAACAGGCAGTAGAATATTTTAGGGGGTGGTAGATAGGCTGCATGCAGTTGTGGGACATAGGCTGCATGCAGTTGTTGGACCTAGGCTGCATGCAGTTGTGGGACCTAGGCTGCATGCAGTCATGGGGCAAAGGCTGCACTCTCTCGTGAGACATAGGTGGGTTGATGCGTAACTTATAAGCATCAAAAAGTTGGATAACCCGTTCTTACCACCCTCGAAAATATTGGGACTGCCCTATGTCATCCTGGGTGTGTGTATGTGGGGGGGGGGGGGGAAGGGGAGAGAGATTGAGAGATACCTGAATGTCCAACTCTATCTAAACTATCTTAACGAATGACATGTCTACCCCAATCTGCACTGAGAGTAGACTGAGATAGCTATGACTTTGGCAGGGGTCGGCAACTACCAGCAGGGCCTCAGCTGGACAGGCTAAAAGATAATAACAAACACACACTGATCGATCCTCCAGGTTGGGGATGAACCATGGGGTTGACACCCCTGCCTTTGTGAAATTTCATTTTGTCACAAAACATATATCCAAGTCTCTCTGAAACTTGAATTACACTAAAAGAGACAACACTTTATTATAGACTTTTGATAACAGATGAGTGAACAGTGTGGAGGCACAGATTGCTTATTACAATCTGAGGAAAATGGCACTGTAGGGAGTTATTAGCATAACCTGTTGTTTTGTTCTGGAGAGGCCACTAGATCTTGTTATATGTCTGTAGGTGGCTGAGTGGTCTCAAGGCGTGGTGTCTGCCTCAAGTGCTAGAGGTCCGGGGTTCAGGCTGGGATTTTTTCATGTGCACTTCTAACAATTTTCCCTGGTCTCTGGGTAGTAAGATCGGACACCCCTGTGTATTGTTGCGCACTTTAAAAAATCCCTTTGCATTTGGAAATCGAAAAAGAGTAGCCTAATGGAGCTGCCGGGGCAAAATTGGGAGTTAAAAATCTACCCAAAGTATTTCAGGATCCTCGCTGGTGCTACAGAGTTTCAGCACTGTGCTAAGATTCTTCGGACTCAGGCTTGAGTTAGAAGTAGAGTGTGGCATTAATGGGTTAATACTCTTGTGTCATGATGTTGATCTGTCTGATATATAAACCAAAAAACCAAAATATTGTATTTTGACTGTAATCACTGTTGTTAAAGTTCATGCTTGCTGGAGTACATCATACAGTCGGGAAGGGCTGTTCAACTAAGTTTACTCAGGGAAAATGGGGATCTCGTGGACTCGAAGCTCCATCCCCAGCGTAGAAAGTTAATTAATGCAATAAAAAGGACAATGATCCATGGACCACTTGATAGACCTGTATGGGTCAGATTCAGCCTCAGATGCCAACAGTTGAATATCAAGAAAAGATATAAACCCGAATGAAAAGTATATTAGCAAGCTTCACAATATAACAAATACAAACAAAACGGGAACGTTGCGGATATTGAGCCTTCATCAGCACATACAAATTAAACAATACTACATAGATACACAAAATCACTAAGCTGGTATCTCAATGCGGCCAGGTCGGTTGTTACTCAGCAGAATGACCACACGTGTCAGCTGGGAGAATAAATACCCCCCGGTGGAGTATCAGGGGCCGTAACTGGGGTGTAGGGGTTGAAACTGTGAGGACAGTTCAATCCCCTGGAAGTTGACAGTTGCATAGCCCTGCAGTAAGGTTTAGTATACATAAGATTTGACAATGGTTGTAAAATTACCTACTTATCAGATCCTGATATCTTTGCCAGATTTGAAACTGCACTTGCAGTCCACAGACTATGGCAATTTCCTGGCCAATGAGCCCAGCCCTCTGACGGTCTCTGTGATTGATGACAAGCTGCGGGAGAAGCTTGTGGTGGAGGTGGAACATATGCGGATACACGCACTACAGCCTCTCGCAGGATTCCTGGATTATATCAAGTTAGTTTCTCCAGAGGATTGTATGTGGTGTGGATTATATAGCATTTTGTTGTCCCAAAAAAAAAAAAAAAAAACGCGGTAAAGATCATTTGTTTTTTCCTTAATTGGCATATAGGGCTAGATCTGTATTTATTATTAACCAGTCTACACTTGATGCATGTTATCATGCTAGCTGCCTTTACTTCCCAGTTGAGTTGAATTAATAACAGACATTACAGCACTCGGGCCATCCCATAAACCCTCCATTCCTATCTTCAGCAGCCAGCGCAGAGTTCTGATACCCATGGTGCCAGAAGCATTCTGATTAAATGTCCGTCTTGCCTTCCCTCTGTGCTTCGAGCATCTGCCATAACCTCTAGTCACTTCCCGCTGTATCAGTCTCACCAGACTGGTGATCCATCTGCTCTTCCGAACTGTAAACGCTTTCACAAGGCACTACCATGTCTGCCTTATCACGCATTAGTATTCCACAGAGTTGTGCAGAGCCAGCCAGTCTGTTTGCCTGTTTATTTACCAACACACCGCCCGTCGTACCCCGGAGAAAAAATCCAGACAATACTCCTCACCTGTGTCCTCCGCAGTGAAGCATGCCACTCTGCACAATATGTAGCATGCCTGTCCTGATCTTCCTCATCATGCTTTCTGAGTCAGTTACAATCACAAAGTGTGTGTGAGTCATGTTCTCTAACCAGCGAAAAGCTGCAGTGACCGCCTCTAACCTCCATTCTTAAGCTGGATGTTGTGGTATCTTTACTTCCCAGGACATTACTTGGTACCCATTTTAGGTTGGGTGGATCTAGAAGCCAAAGTCAGTATTGAAAAATCCCTGTGTGAGTTCCTGGAGCCCATTGTGCAGAAAACAAGATTTGACCCACTGCCTCCCCAGCAAGAATGTCGTAGGAGTCGACTAATTTGGGACTTCCTTCGAAAGTCGCAGGGCATCTGCCCGACCGGTGAAGAAGAAAAAGCTGCACGCAAATAAGTTAGTTAAGCAGATGTACGCGCAAATCTCAGGTCCTGGTGCAAAGTCAAAGTCCAGATGGACGATCAGTCTGGACTTTGCATGAGGAGCTTACAGCCGGTAAACAAAGAACAAGTTTTGGAAAAAATCTGCGGTGCACAAGAGAGCCATTACACTACGAGGCTCACATTTGGTTGTTATACTGTGTGGACTATATAAAGTTATTTTGCATATATTTTATTCTGCGTAGATAATGTGAAGTTAGTGTGGGAAGAAAATTGTATGCAGCTTTTCATAATTTATTGTTCATATCATGAGCCACGATTCTGATGTTAGTGGGACTGTTAGTGTTGGCACTCATAGTGGCTGCCTTATGCAGTTACTTTGCTGTGTGAGCTTCAAGATTTTTCTGCAACTGACTTGCTTTTCACTTATTTATAAATGGAACAATTACATTTTAAATGATTTCCACTGGCTTGGGAATGGAGCAGTTACAGGACAAACCCATCTGCAGTGAAATTGGAATCTAAACTGACGACTAGAAGAGTATACTCTATTGATAACGGATTCAAAGATGATGTGGATTATGAAACATTAGTTTTTACTTGTCATTGTATGTTGTATATATTTCCTAGCTCTTTAAGAGATTACACCATTGTGGATCGCATTGAAGAAATTTGGTCAGGGTAGATTATGTGAAGATAGTTTTTACAGTAAAGTTAGTTTATGTTACAGATTTATCATAGAAGCTAAAAGAAAAAACCTCAAAGATCTGATGGTGACGACACAGGTCAGGCAGATCACAAAACACAAACTAAGAAAGAAAATGTTGACAGCGATTAGTGGAGATAGTGGCATTAAGCCTGATGGTTCTGCAGCAGAAAGCTCTGCCATCAGGCTAAAGACAACTCTAGAGAAGGGAACATTAGATGTGAGATGGTTCAGGGTTCTAATGTCGGAGACAAAAAGAATAAGACTCATTGCCCACCCCACACCCTGCAAGCATGTAATAAAAATTGACTTATTAGGATTAGGACTCTCTTTGAAGTCGGAGTGAATCGGCCTGGGAGGTTTGGAACCTGCAGCAGTCTGTTTACAAATACGCCACATCTGTAAAACAGATGTGCATGCAAAATTCAAATTCTGGGACAAGATTAAAGTCCACAAGGGGACAAACAACCAGAACTTTTCACCAGAGTTTACGACTGGGGAACAGCAACAAGAAGAAATAAGACGTGAGGAGCATGCATTGTTGGCAACTGTTTTGACGGAGGACTTTGTGCTAAATTTATGAGCTGTGATAAAGCACCGTCTATAATGTTTCTTTGTCTACCTGGGAGTCATGCATTCACATTTGCATGGAGTCAAATTTAAAAAGAAAAATGGCTTACATTCTTTTCTTTCAGTGTTTATCATTTTGTCTTTTGGCTCTTCTTCTGCCTTTCTAGTCCCTAATGGAGCATATGCCCTCAACCAACTCACTCCAAGTCTTTCTGTCTTTTGCTATAAAGTTTTAACATTCCAGGTTAGAACTCTGGAGGTTTTCCTAGAGGAGAGGAGGTACGTCGACGATCCAGACTCCTTTTGGCTTTCTCCACACCGTGTCATACTTCTTGAAGAGCCTCCCCTCATCTTGGCTGGCTGAGCTTTTTTTTTTGTTTCTCTTTTTGACTTATTCATGGTGGTTGGTTTTTGTAGTTATTATTTTTACAGGATGAGGTAGCCAACCTCAAGCCCAACCCTACCCTTAGACGCCTCTTACAACTTGCCTGGTAGGGTGCAGTGTCACTATTCTTTGCTTCCCGTGACCGCCCCGGTGACACACCGCGTTGTCTTTTGCAGTCTCTACTTATTTTTGCCTTTTTTTATTTCTTATCTTTCTGTGAGTTAGTGTGTTAATCGTTGGTGCCTGTAAGTACAGTTACATGATTGACAGTGTTATTGTTATATCTACAGGTACAGTTACATGATTGACAATGTTATACTGCTGATTACTGGGACCTTACATGGTCGACCCATACACGAACTGTTGCCTAAATGCCACCCATTGGGCACATTTGACCAGTTGGCTGCAATCAATCTAGCCAACACTTCCATCATGTTATACAATGCAGTTTTGGTCGACACACCTTTAGGTAAGCATGTGGTAGTTGATGCCAGGGCGAGAGTGAAGGAAAATGGGCCAATGTTATGTTTCAGTGACTTGAACGCAGTGCCGGTAGGGTCATCTATCTCTCTCTCTGTCTGTCTCCCTTTCTCTCTCTCTTTGTCTCTCTCTGTCTCTCTCTCTCTCTGTGTGTGTGTGCTCACGCGCGCGCTTGTGAGAGAGATAGGACCTAAAAAAATTAGCTGTCTCAGGTGATCCGTGTGACAGGAAGAGACAAAGTCTGCAACCAGACAGTATATCATGATCTTGAAACCCATGCCTCATATACTTGAGTGGATCAGTCACAGTTGCAATGGTTTGGACATGTAGAAAGAAGGGAGGCAGGGAACCAGTCCTCCAGGAAGACCCAGGGTCCCTTTGGAAAAACAGCATCCGACAGTCCTTAACTGGCAGAGGACTGGAGAGAAACAAAACCAGAATGAAAACTGCTGAGAAGTCTGACGATGTCTCTGACAAACCTCTGCACCCCAAGGTGGACGAGGAGCATCTAAGTAAGTTAATGTGTGGTTCAGAATGTTGAATTAAGTATCGACATCACAGCACTCGTGACACTCCCATAAGTGCTCAGTCTCCATCTTCAGCAGCAAGCGAAGAGTACCAATTCCGATGGTACCTGTAACTGTCAGATTGTATAACAGTCTCATCCTTCCCCTGAGTGTTGAGCGTTGGCCACATCACCTGGTAACTCCTCGCAGCGCCCTTCTCCTTAGACTTAATGATCTATCTGCGCCTCCGCACTGTTCATCCGTTCCTTAGGAGCCCTCACAATATCTAATTTGTCATACATCATTTCACCACCAAGTGGTGCAGAGCCAGCCAGTCTATCTGCCTGCTCATTTCCCAACACACCGGCATAACCTGGAGAAAATATCCAAAGGATTCTAACTGCACAGGACCTCTGAAGTGATGCTTGCCACTCTGCACGAAGCATGCCTGTTTTCACCTTTCTCAACATGCTCTATGAGTCAGTTAAATCATGGCATGTGTGTACAGCTGATTCATTCTCAAGCCAGCTTGAGAGAGAGAGAGTACCTATTGAGCACCAAGTCTTTAAAGGGAAGTAGAAACAAAAACAATGCCCTGGTACTATCCGCCACAGCGAGCCACACTAAAACGTTACAATGGGTATAGAGCGAGTGGAAGACCTCGGAAAATATGGAGTGATGGCATTAAGAACAGCCTTACAGAAATGAAATCAGTCTTAATAGTGCTCTTGACAGAGCCCATCAACGAACATTACATCTCCCCCCGACACTTCGATGAGGTACAAGGTGGAAGAGAAGAAGAAGAAGAAACAAAAACATTGTGCCATGTTCACAGTGGGAGTTGCAACTATGGGAATATTACATGAGGCCCCAATCTCTTCCACAGTGCAACTCTCATACCAGTGTCTAAAAAACCAGGAGAATGGTTGTTCTAAACCGCTCACCATGGGGAAACAAACCTTAATAAACATTAAAGTTTGCATTGTGAAACCATTATTCCAACCTCCTAAGCCACAGGTAAAAGCAGTTATGAATGGAGCTGGCCACACTGCAGCGTACTAACGCAACCTAGTGTGATTGGAAACTGGTACTTCACGTTTAAATCACAGCACAAAAGAATGACTTTATTCTGTGTTTTCCCCTTGTGGATTCGGGGGCCCTATCTTGGGAAACAGAAGAATAGACCCACAGCCTCTCTAACAAGCATTTCAGAAAAGTGGACTAGTTAGGGGCATTTCCTTTGAAGTCAGAATGCATTGGACTGAGAGGCAACGTACTGACAGTCTGCATATAAATTAGCCATATCTATAAAACAGAATGTACATGCAAAACTCAAGTTTGGGAACAAGACCAAAATCTAGAAGTGTACGAGGCCAGAACTTTCTGCTGGAGTTTACAACCAGTGAATTCTACGATGATGAAGATTCTGTTTGTTAAATTGTTTGAGAGAATATCTCTAAAGTGAGCTTACACATTTTCACACTGTAGGGATTTTAACTTCTTCATTACAGACATCTCTGTACGAAAATAATGAATGTAAAATCATCATCAGTTTTCTTTATGCCTTAAGGCTTCAGAGAGGACTGTCCATGCTTTCCTGTCCTGTGCAGTTTTCCAAATCAGAGATGCCGCACTCAGGTCACTTTCTATCGTTCGTTTCCATGTTGTTTTTGGGCTGCCCTTCTTTCATTTTACATTCCAGAAGCCAGTTCCTAATTTGGTTTTGACGTCCAGTAGACTTGTTTTCCCATCATGGGCTTCCTTTTGGCTTTCACCCATGTTGTTCATGCTGAATAACATAATAAATGTAAAATAAATATTTTATATTTAAAAAAAAAATTTCAACAAACTTTTTTTCACATGAGAGAGGAAATCTGTGTGTGTTTTGCAGCTCCATACATCAAGGACTGCATCTCTGCTGAAGATCTGGATGAGATGAATGTGGAAATTATCAGGAACACACTGTACAAGGTAATGTGTTGTTGTAAGGAGAATTATCAGGAACACACTGTACAAGGTAATGTGTTGTTGTAAGGAGAATTATCAGGAACACACTTTACAAGGTAATGTGTTGTTGTAAGGAGAATTATCAGGAACACACTGTACAAGGTAATGTGTTGTTGTAAGGAGCACCCATGTGTGTCCCGGGGGTTCCTTCTTTTTTTCTTCTTTCGTTCGCATGAAATAAATTGTCTATATCTGCAAAGCCGTCTCTAGTATGAATTTCACTGTCTTTTGTAATTCACTAAGCGGCCCATAAAGTTTGACTTCCACAAGTGTCTTTTTTGGCCAAAGGTTTTGCCTGAAAGCGTTGAATCTGGGACAGTCTTGAAGGATGTGATCTGTTGTTTCGGGTGCCAGTCCACAAGTACACATGGCTGATCGGCCAATCTTAAATTTGTTGTACATGTGGGAGCGAAGTCGATTCTGCCCTGTTCTAAGGCGAAGGATAATGACTTGCTCTGGTCTGTCCATAATATGGTAATCATCTTGTGCCAGTTTCGGTGGCATTCTGATTGATTTGATCATTCTCTTCTTCTGTTGATAAGAGACTGGTATGTCAGGCTGTTCTTCATTTGCACCTTCCTTAGCTAGTTTATCAGCTTTTTCGTTTCCGGGAACTCCACAGTGGGAAGGTATCCACTGCATTACTAATTTACAGCGGTTGCCTAGTTCGGATAATAGTGTCCGTATGCTTGGTAATTTTCCAGACTGGAGTGACTGAAGTACTGCTTTTGCATCTGTCAGGAATACCACTGGTTGTTAAAAATACCCTGTATTTAGTAGTTTCTCTACCGCTATCTTGATGGCTTGAACTTCTGCATCATAGTTGTGACAGTGCTTTCCCGTTGGTAATTTGGCTGTATCCCTGGTATTATTAGGATACTCAATGTACACTCCTGCACCTCCGTTTCTGACTGCGCTTTCTGCTGACCCATCTGTGTAAACACGGACCCAAAGGTTCTGCGGGTATTCATCATCAAGTACCGGGGGTTCCATTTTGGAGAACAAAAAATACACCCACTGTCCCCTCCCCTCAGCACTTATGTCATAGCAGGCGACTAATTAAAGATGTTTCCTTCACAGTAGGAGTGCGGAGAGACAAGGAACCAACAGTCTGCATACAAATAATACATATCTGTAAAATGGATGTGCACACAGAAAACTGGATCAAAACCATGAGGGGATGGACAACCAGAATTTTCCTCCGGTGTTTACAGCAGGTGAACACTAAGAAGAAGAATGAGAAAACGTGTTAAGATATTATCAAGTAGTTTAGTTCCTTGTGTGGATTCTTGGCCCTTTTTTTGGTATGGAATGAGAACCACTGTTGCCCACTTCTTCTTTCACTCTTTAAAAGGCGTTTGACACATTGTTTTGTGTATCTTTTTCCTTTGTCCTACTGCTTATGCCGTAAAGCATCATAGAGATTAGTTTCGTATAGTTTCCTATCCTTTACTAGTTGCAGAGCTTGTGTTAAATATATACTTACTTACTTAGTTGCTCCTCTTCTACCTTTGAGTGGGGTGTAGAGGTTTGCCAGAGATCGCCAGACGTCTCTATCAGCAGTTTTCTTCCTGACTTTGTTCCATTCCAGTCCTCTTTCAGTCAGGGACTGTCGGATTTTGTCTTCCCAGCAGACCCTGGGTTGCCCTGGAGGTCTGGTTCCCTGGTTCGTAGCCTTCCATGCGTGACTTGGTGGATGATTTTCTCCAATTCTGCATACATGGTTAAATATATTATATCCCTAAAATGTTTATATGCTTGAATAGCTTTTGGTGATGTTTACAACTGTGTCGGCAGTGACTGTTGTAATCATATTGTTTTCCTTCACGTACATCTTAAGGACTTCACAACTTCACTTAGCTATGATTGTATTATAACCCTTATGTGTTCTCACGTTTTAGTTGACTGTACTTTTATTCGTTTTAGTTGACTATACTTTTATTACAGCCCTAATGTTTCCTTATGTTTCAGTCGTACCTAGAAGATTTCTACAACTTCTGCAAGAAGCTAGGGGGCGCTACAGCAGACGTTATGTGTGAGGCACTAGCAGTAAGTTTCCCTAAGTTAATAACTGTGCAGAAGTGTATTAGCTGTGGTACTGTAGAGAAATATGCCCTTAATTACCAACACATTTGTCTGTGCTTTGGTTTAGTCTGTACAGGATTATTTTCATTGTACACTCAGGCAACTGTATGTGTTTCAGTCTCCTCTGAAGATCACACATTGACATTGTCAATACAGTACACACACAAAAACAACAGTACTTATGGGAGTCTAATTGTCTGTACAGCAGATCCGTATGTGCTGCTATTTTTTTTTTTTTTTTTGCTTAAAAAGAAAATAATACACACATTTCTCTCTGTCTGTCTGTCTGTCTCTGTCTCTCTCTCTCTCTCTCTCTCTCTCTCTCTCTCTCTCTCTCTCTCTCTCTCTCTCTCTCTCTCTCTCTCTCTCTCTCTCTCTCTCCTTACCTTTCAGGCATATTGAGTATGTAGGGCTTGACCCATATATTTTATAGACCAACAACACTTTGTGGGTGATGTGGTCATCATCACGCCGGCCGCCTTTACTTCCTACAATTACCTGGTACTCACTCAAGGCTGGGTCAACCTGGGAGCCAAGGTCGTTTTTGATAAAAAGTAGTGGCCCTCGTCAGGAACTGAACCCGCGACCTTTCGATTTGAAGCTAGACCATGACGGCGTGGGTGTAATAAAATATTACAAAGCTGGTAAAATATAGTTCTGAAGTGTTAACTAATCATTATTTATTTATAGTTTTGCCCTGTAAAGTCTATTGACTCAAGCACTTTATGAGTTCATTTATGCTTTTGCCAGTGTTTTTACAAGCTTTTATTAAGTGCACATTTGTTTTCATAACCTGCAGTTTGACGCTGATCGGAGATCATTCATCATCACTATCAACTCATTTGGCACAGAGCTAAGCAAAGAGGACAGGATCAAGTTGTACCCTCGTTGTGGTAACCTGTACCCTAGTGGCCTCAAGTTGCTAGGTGAATGTGACGACTACGACCAGGTCCGGGCTGTGGCAGAGTACTACCCCGTAAGTTGAGGTTGATATGATCAGTTGGCTACTCTAGTTTGGTGCTGCTCTCTAACTTAGAGGTTAGTGAGATAGTCTCAAAATGTAATACTCGGCATTTACCAGGGTTTGATTTCTACGGTCGCTGGTAAGTAATAAGTAAGAAGGCTTATGTAAAAAAAGAGGGGTGAAATATAAATATGAATAAGTTAAATAAATGAACATGTTAATATATTAAATTGAATAAAGCTGTGTTGAGTATTGATCCCTCTATGACTGAAAATGCCAAATCTATGAATGAAACGATTTTCTAAGGGGTAGTGGCTGCTTAGATCACCGGAGCAAGATTTAACAGCAGTGACTAAGATATTTCTTTCGCCTTGGTGGTCAGAACCGTTGCAATGAAGACAGGTTTAGGAGCCTTATAATGAATATTTGCAAGCTGTCTCCAGTCACCCCCATTTACATCATCACTGCACTAACCTGGTTGCTACAGTACTTGCATGCCAACCTCGATGGTTGTGTGTTTCGATCGCAGTTTCTGAAGTAAGAAAAATAAATAAAAAATGGACCTTGGTTAGCTCGTTGTAAAGTCGATGTTTTTGTAACTTAAGGGAAACAGCAGGATATTGCCCACATCTCCAAGTGAGTTCTGATGGGTCTGTAAAAATGTGACGCTTGACCCATATAAACCAGTACACTTCAAGGCATGGAATCACCTTAAAAAATTATTACTATTAAATTATATTTACCAAAAAACCTAAATTGCAGTGAACAAGTTGACCTCAAGATTTTTAACTCAAGAGTCTGAATAAGGATTATACTATTCCTATCTCATGCATTTTATACCCACTTTGAAAGTCAACCTCATGTGTCCGAAATAGTTTTTTGGCTTAAAAACTAGACTTTTATGCCACAGTTTACAGTATGCTGCAAGGTGAGAGAGACGTTTTATTACAAATTATCTGTGGTTTGCTGTCCTTATATGTTGAATTTCTGTTATACTCAATCATTTGAAAGTTAGTATGATTTTTGTAGGGTCAGAATTTGTTTTGTTTTTTGCAGCTGTGCTCATTTTAACAGAATTTTTTTTTTTATTGTCTCATATTTTCTTAAGAAGGAATTTATAATTTGAGATCAGTATTATCCGTTGAGGGGAGTCGCTGTGGGGTAGCAGCTGGAAGGTCGTGGGTTCGCTTCATGGCGGAGCCAGACTTTACAAAAAAATTACCTTGACTCCCAGGTCGACCCAGCCTTGTGGGTACCTGGTGCATTCTAAGGAAGTAAAGGCGACCGGCGTGATACTGACCACATCACCCTTCTTGTGCCGATCAGTCTATACAAATTTAGGTCTAGCCCTATATGTCCTATAGGCTAAAGGCATGGAAAAGGGACCTTTACTTTTTAAAATGTTTTTTTATTATCAGTTGATTATCCAGTGTTTTTCAACTTATAAATATTGATTTTTCATCATCTCACGTAACTGTTTTTGTTTCCCAAGCCAAAGGCTGTTAATTATAATGTATAATATGCAGGTGCTTTTGTTGTTTCTGTAAACTAATGTGATTTTTACATTTGAATTGTTACTGCAGCAATACAAGGAGCTGTTTGACAACTCTGGCTCTAACCCTGGGGATAAAACATTGGAGGACAAATTCTTTGAGTATGAGGTATTGACGTACTGAAGATTGCTATGTTTTAGTTGTATCGTGCAGAACTTTTTACTTTTTATTTCTATCAGTTTCTTGTTACATATGTAGAATGGAAATGACTAGGTTTAAAATGTGAACTGGCTCATGTGGTTTGTACTGTTTTTGTCATTTGTGAGGTTATGGAAACCGTGGATGGTGCCTATGTGAGGCTATTAAAATTAAGTGGATGACATATGCATGAACCTGTAGAAACATACTGGATGACACTTTTCTGAGGCCATGGGAATTTAGTTGATGGCACTTTTTTTTTAAGGCTATGGAAATGTAACTCTTTACAGATGTAATAGTTTGCTGTTATACTGACATTTAAATAGTTTAGATTTATTCTGCATTCATTTATCTTTAATTTGATATAAGTTCTGATACAGCCAATACTTTCTCTTCAGGAAGGTTTTAGCTTTGTCGTGTTGCAGTTAAACAAATTCCATTCAAAATTAATGCAGTCCAAACCCCCCCCCCCCCCCCCCCAAAAAAAAAAATGTGGTCCTGAAAGAGTTAATTGATGGCACTTTTGTAAGGCTATAGGAATTTAGTGGACAGCATAATTACGACCGAGTTCCATCCCAACGAACAGGTTGTGAGTCGAACAGGTTGTGAGTCAAACAGGTTGTGAGTCGAACAGGTTGTGAGTCAAACAGGTTGTGAGTCGAACTGGTTGTGAGTCGAACAGGTTGTGAGTCGAACTGGTTGTGAGTCAAACAGGTTGTGAGTCAAACAGATTGTGAGTCAAACAGGTTGTGAGTCAAACAGGTTGTGAGTCGAACTGGTTGTGAGTCGAACAGGTTGTGAGTCGAACTGGTTGTTAATTCGAATTTATATTTTTTAACAAAGTTTGTTTCAAAAAGGTTTTAAAATGTGTACATTAAACACAAAGATTCAATCTATGTACATATAATTATTTTACATATTGTGAAAAATACATAATGTGGGCTCTATTGTATCAGTTCCAGGACCTTTTTTTGCCCTGTCAGCAAAGAAATCTTTCTGTCTTTACTTTAAAAAAATTAATTCAATTTTTGAGGTCTTAAGTTAAGGAGAAGGTGTACTTGCATATCAGCAGAACTGTATGCACCAAATATTTGTTTGGAAACACATGACAGCAGGGCAAAGGTTTTGAAGGAATTGATTGTCACACCTCGAGTAATGTTAGGGCCCAGTACATGTAAAGTCCTGTGATTGTACCTTCAGTGTATATGTTTAGCGTTGTCTGTTACTTATTAAATTAAACTTTATTCTTATACCTGTATCTCATAACTTATTTTTGGGGTATGGAGTGTGTCCCTTTTAAGTGAAAGATATAATTTAAAAAAAAAATTAATAAATACCATTTTAATTGTTTACTAATTTCTTTAAATCAGAAATGCCACTAACCATGTTACTATTAGCCAAAGGTAAATTATTTGCCGCTTTCTTGGAATAAGAAATAACATTCAAATGTCACTTAAAATAAATTATTTGCCTTTTTCTTGAAATCAGACCAGCCAAAGCAGCGTCAAAAAAAAATTTATTTGTGTTTTTTTCTTGAAATCAGAGCAGCCAAATCAGTGTCCCAAAAAAAAAATTATTTGTTTTTTGAAATCAGAATGGCCACTGTCACTGGCTAATGTCCAGGAAGGCCAGCCACAGTGGAGGTGGATGATATCAGCAACAGTGAACCTCAAGGGATCAGAACACTAAAGAAGAAGAAAAAGAAGAATTGTTACTACTGCATCACTTTTGGCCAAAAATAAAAGTCTAATTTTCATGAAAATAGAAATGCACCTACAGAGTCTCTGTTAGGCCAACAACAATAAAATTATTTACTCATTAATTTAAATGAATTGTGCAACTGACAGGGTTTCTTTAAGCCAACAAAGAAATTCAAAGCAATGTTTCCCCGTTGTAAATTTAAACAAAGAAGACACAAACAATAGATTGCACAATTTATTCACTGGCATATTTCGCTGTATCTCGTCAGGTGCATACTACAGTAACAATTACACAAATGAAGCAAAAAAGTTTTTTAAAAATTTAATTGTTTCATGAAATCAGAAATATCAAATTTGTTTCTCTCCAATCCAGGTTCATCTCATGAAGAAGGCTTTCATGCAGCAGTTCCAGTTTGGAGTCTTCTATGCGTACGTTCGTCTCAAGGAACAAGAAATCCGAAACATCATCTGGATCGCTGAATGCGTGGCTCAGCGACACCGAGCCAAGATCGACAGCTACATTCCAATATTTTAGACATTTAGCATCCTTTGGGCCACAATGTCTGACTGCTCCCCCACAAATACACAGATACACTCACATTTTCTGTCTGTGTCATTCCGATATTTTAGACATTCAGCATCCTTTGGGCCATAATGTCTGACTGCTCCTCCACAGATACACCTACATAGATACACTCACAGCTTCTGTCTGCCTCGTTTGCTTACACTCATTGTTCAGAGGAAAGGCAGGATTAACATTTTATGTTGGCTGCTGAAGATGGGGATAGAGTGCTGATAACTTTGCTCCAAGTCCTGTGATGTCATTTATTGTCTCTCATTCTGTTATTCCATGTTCTTGCTGATTTGTATATGTTTGTCTTTCTATTTTGCCAGCAGTATTCTGGACTAGTTTTATAACTCATGAAATGCGCATAGTTAATTTTTATCTGGTAACAGTGTTGCTCGCCGTAACATTTGTACCTTTTATGAGACAGGTTTTTGTCAGCACACTTTTTGTGCTAATGACTATTTTTATTTTAAATATTTTTTTTGTCTGTAGCGATTCGATTTATATGATAGGAACTCTTTTAAGTATACTTTCTTTCTTCCTTGTGTTCACCAGCTGTAAACTTTGGCGGAAAGTTCTTTTCTTCATTTGTTCCTTTCTAGACTATAGTCTAAGAGTCTATAGTCTAAACCATAGTCTTGTCCTAGAATTTGAGTTTTCTAAGCGCATCTGACTTATTTGAAAGCTACTGTTGGTTCCTTGCCTCTTAGGTAGAGGCACTCTTAGTCTTAATTCGTCAGTTCTTATGACATGCTTGTTAGAGGCAGTGGGTCTATTTTTTTTTGGGGTGCTTTCTATTTAGCCGACCACAAATGACGCCATGTGACAGTCCAGTATTTTAGAGGGTGGTAAGAGCACGTTTTCCATGGTTTCTGTGCTTTAGCTCGTTTCTTCCAAGGCCAAGGTTTTCGCGCAAAAGCCTAATCCTAACCTAACCCAAACTGTACGCTTAATCTACCACCCACTGAAATATTTGACTGTCCCGTGACCTGTGGATTTTCCCTGTTTGTGGTCGGCTAATAAGAAAGTACCCTTTTTTGTTTTTTTTCTTCCTCCCCATTTTAGAGGGTCGTAAGAGCAGGTTTTCTGTGGTTTCTATGCTTAGCTTGTTTCTTCCAAGGTCGAGGTTTTTCGCGCATTTAACCTTAGCCTAAACCAGCCAAAACTATACGCCTAATCTATCACCCACTGAAATATTTGACTGTCCCGTGACCGGTGGATTTTCCTTGTTTGTGGTCAGCTAATAAGAACGTACCCTTTTTTTGGGACGCCTCCCCCCACTCAGTAGAGGCCCTGGAACCCATATGGGGATCTTAAAGTATTGAATTAGATAGTCTTCTAGATTAGATAGTCTTCTAGATTAGATAGTCTTTTAGATTAGATAGTCTTCTAGATTAGATAGTCTTCTAGATTAAGTAGTCTTTTAGATTAGATAGTCTTCTAGATTAGATAGTCTTCTAGATTAGATAGTCTTCTAGATTAGATAGTCTTCTAGATTAGAAAGTCTTCTAGATTAGATAGTCTTCTAGATTAGATAGTCTTCTAGATTAGATAGTCTTCTAGATTAGATAGTCTTCTAGATTAGATAGTCTTCTAGATTAGATAGTCTTCTAGATTAGATAGTCTTCTAGATTAGATAGTCTTCTAGATTAGAAAGTCTTCTAGATTAGATAGTCTTCTAGATTAGAAAGTCTTCTAGATTAGATAGTCTTTTAGATTAGATAGTCTTCTAGATTAGATAGTCTTTTAGATTAGATAGTCTTCTAGATTAGATAGTCTTCTAGATTAGATAGTCTTCTAGATTAGATAGTCTTTTAGATTAGATAGTCTTCTAGATTAGATAGTCTTCTAGATTAGATAGTCTTCTAGATTAGATAGTCTTCTAGATTAGATAGTCTTCTAGATTAGATAGTCTTCTAGATTAGAAAGTCTTCTAGATTAGATAGTCTTCTAGATTAGAAAGTCTTCTAGATTAGATAGTCTTTTAGATTAGATAGTCTTCTAGATTAGATAGTCTTCTAGATTAGATAGTCTTCTAGATTAGATAGTCTTCTAGATTAGATAGTCTTCTAGATTAGATAGTCTTCTAGATTAGATAGTCTTCTAGATTAGAAAGTCTTCTAGATTAGATAGTCTTCTAGATTAGATAGTCTTCTAGATTAGATAGTCTTCTAGATTAGATAGTCTTCTAGATTAGATAGTCTTCTAGATTAGATAGTCTTCTAGATTAGATAGTCTTCTAGATTAGAAAGTCTTCTAGATTAGATAGTCTTCTAGATTAGAAAGTCTTCTAGATTAGATAGTCTTTTAGATTAGATAGTCTTCTAGATTAGATAGTCTTCTAGATTAGATAGTCTTCTAGATTAGATAGTCTTCTAGATTAGATAGTCTTCTAGATTAGATAGTCTTCTAGATTAGATAGTCTTCTAGATTAGATAGTCTTCTAGATTTGATAGTCTTCTAGATTTGATAGTCTTCTAGATTAGATAGTCTTCTAGATTAGATAGTCTTTTAGGTTCTCTAATTTGAACTGTAATTTAAGAGATTTTGTTTTGATGATGAGCACAGTAAATTACCAATTGACATGTTACCTCGGGTTATTTGAGGTGTGGTTTCGAAGCTTCTTCTTCTTCACACTCGCCAGCTGTAAACTCCAGCGGAAAGTTCTGGTTGCTCGTCCACTTCTGAACTGCAGTCCTGTTTCAGAACCTGAGTGTTGCGTATGCATCCATTTTACAGATCTGACTCATTTGTATGCAGACTGCTGGTTCCTTTCCTGTAAGGCAGATGCACTCCGACTTCGAAGGAAGCTTCCAATTAGTCGACTCTTACGACATGCTTTTAGGTAGGCAGTGGGTCTGTTCTTGTTTTCCCTATGATAGGGCCCCGGAACCCACATAGGTGGGTTTCTAAGCTGATTTCTGCTATGACCAAACGTGAAGGGCCAGCATTGCACTGTTGATGTTCTGGAATGAGTTAATTTGGTGGATCATGTTTAGGCTGGAATGAGTTAATTTTGGTGGATCATGTTTAGGCTGGAATGAGTTAATTTTGGTGGATCATGTTTAGGCTGGAATGAGTTACTTTTGGTGGATTATGTTTAGGCTGGAATGAGTTAATTTGATGGATCATGTTTAGGCTGGAATGAGTTAATTTTTGTGGATCATGTTTAGGCTGGAATGAGTTAATTTGGTGGATCATGTTTAGGCTGGAATGAGTTACTTTTGGTGGATCATGTTTAGGCTGGAATGAGTTACTTTTGGTGGATCATGTTTAGGCTGGAATGAGTTACTTTTGGTGGATCATGATTAGGTTGGAATGAGTTCATTTTGGTGGATCATGTTTAGGTGCTTGTTTACTGTCATATTTTGTGTTCAGAGTTGACGGATTGATGCATTTATTTTAAGTTAGTTTGTGGAGCAGAATTTGGCGTCAGTCTTGACTTTTCCATTCATGTTTCTCATGACGAATCTGTATGTCTTCATAATTGTCTGGACTTCAGTGTTTCTGCTCTGCAGGTATTTCTTTTGTTTCCTTTTGAACAATTTTTGTTTTTATGGATAAATTGGATTATTGCTCCTACCCATAAATGTATCTCCTAAACATAATTTTGGTCTCCAAAAGTGTTGTATAAATGTTTGACGTGTTTGTTAATGCCATGACTGAGGGATGAAAAGCTTACAGCATTTCAAAAAATATAACTAAAATACAGACTCAGACAAAATCAGATTAATGAGGCATTGTCATAAACAGAAAATAGATGTATATTCATATACCTGAGACCTGCTCACAACAACACATTCTAGAAGCAACAGTCATTCACAGAAAAGAAAGCTGCGCTCTGTCTCTTGGGAGACAATATGTCAACAGGTCAAACAAACCTGAACCACTTTTCAGCACGCTGTGTATATAGTTATATGACTGTTTACCTTAAACAGAAAAGGAATGTGTGTGTTAAAATTTTAATAAGAGATGATCACAAAAGGAAGCAAGTGATTATTATAAAGCTGATTCTAAAGGATGGATCCACGCAAGCTTGCAGGATTGTTGTCACTAAGGAGCATTGGCAACTAATCATTCAATGAGTATGATGTGAATTCAGAGTACACCTTCACTGTATGAGTCTCACTGACTGTTACATTAGTCTTGGTCAAGGTTGAAACTTCACTGCAATTGGGTTTCCCCATACGTGCTCCGTTCCTGTGCCAGTGCAAATCAAATTAATTGTCCCCCACTGTCCCATTGGAAAACTGGTGAACAAACAACTAGTTCTGGAACAATCCAAAAATATGCGCCTGCAGTAAATGCAAATTGCAGTTTGCTAGAGGTGCCAAAGCCAACAGTCACCATCAGAAATGCAGTTTGTTACATAGAGATGTTGAGTGCCAAAGCAAACTCCAGGGCATGTCTTAGAAGACCTTCTAAGGTTTTGTGAAAATATATCAAACCAGATGAAAAGTTGAACTAGTCAGCTTCACAGTACTACAAACAGAAATGACAAGTGAAAGTTGCTGCTAGAGAACCTTCATCAGCACATTACATAAATCTTAAATACTACAAGTATGGACAAGAATGCAGAAATTAACTTTGACTGACTACAATTTTGTGAGAGCTAATTAAACTGACAGAAGCAACCCTAGAAGACAAACTGGTACGCCAGTGAGAGACCATTAGTGCACCATCCTGTTTATGACTTATACAGAATAGTCGCCTGGCAAACTTTGATCGCAGAGGAAGAGTAATAATTCATTGGCACCTTTGCGTATTTCCAGACGATAGTGCTATATTGTGCTACTAGGAAGCATGGGACTCACAGCCCATGGCGATGGCTAGTGTGACTAGTAACAGTAATAATACAAGAAGCAAAAAGGGGGAACACAATACAAATAGCTAGGTTTGAAAATAAATCTGAAAATTTTATTTGCATTTATTAAATGGCAAATTAGGACAAGAAACTTTCATGCATT